GCATCTTGAAAAATCACCCTCTATTACACCTGAGCAGGAGCTTTTGGATTTCTAGCATCAAACTACTGTTAGATGAAATAGCAAATAAAAGTAGATATTAAACTTGTCTATACAATATATTATACGGAGTGACCTAGGAGTCACAAAATATTAATAAATTGCTGACATAATAATGCTATTCATTTAAAAATAAGCATCCATTATTTTATGTAGAATATTGATAGAGATGCCCCCATTCAACAGTAATATAATTACAGAATAATATACTTGCAGAGTATTCCAAAATATACCCTATTGATGAAGACTCCCAAAGTTATTAAGTTTGGGAACAGAGCACTAGAAATTTATGTTCATTTGCAGATTTTGAGAAGTCCTGCAGTAAAAAACCCACTTAACATAATTTAAACCAGTGTTTCTCAAACATAATTAACAGGGCACTTTATTCCCAAGATGAGTTATTAACACACTTAAAGAAATGCTAATACATACACATATGTAATCACCATCTCTAAAAGTTTAGAGCACATTCCGTCCATATAATGTGTACAGATTATATAAACATTCTGAATCCTTTGTAGGTTGCTGTTTAAGTTATAATTTCCTTTTATAACTGTTTAATTTGAGGGAAAAAAGTGATTCACTTGAGAGAGCAATTTCTGGAGATAAGTTTATAGGAGGAAAACTATCACTCTTTTGGTCTGTATGGGAAGAGACACTAGTCACCTTCTATTCAATACTCTTGTTAAAAACCTTGCAGTCATTTTTGATCCTTACTTCTCACTCATTACCCCAGTCCACTACCTGGACTTACTGACTGTACCTTTCTACACTGTTCTCCAGCCCATTTCAATCTTTCCTTCCCCAATGCCACTGTTCTAGTTGAAGACACCATTAGTGTTTGCCAGGGAAATTAAGTAACTTTCCAAGTGGTTTCCCTAAATCCATTATTTATCCCATACATTGCAAACAAAATAGCCTATTAACATTTAGGAATGTTTTCTACATACCAAGAATACATCTGTACTAATAGAGCAAAAAGAATGGCAAAATTATCAAGAAACAAAATATTTCTAAGACATGTGTGATCCTATTCCTTATTCTAGAGGTAAGCACTATCTGAATTTTATGAGTATTATCTCCCCTCCCTTCCCCTCTTGTCTCCTTTCCTCCTTTCTTTATTTGTTAATTTTCACATGGGGATATTTTTTCCATTCATTTTTAGAGAATGGAAAGGAGGGAAGGAGAAAAGGAGAGGGACAGGGACAGAGGGAGAGAGAGAAACATCAATGTGAGAGAAACACATTGATTGATTGCCTCCCACATGTGCCCCAACTGGGGCTGGAACCTGCAACCCAGTTACATGCCCTTGACTGGAAATGGAATCCACCACCTTTGGGTGCACGGGGTGAGGCTCTAACCCAGGGATGGGCAAACTTTTTGACTGGAGGGCCACAATGGGTACTTAAACTGGACTGGAGGGCCGGAACAAAAGCATGGATGGAGTGTTTGTGTGAACTAATATAAATTCAAAGTAAACATCATTACATAAAAGGGTACGGTCTTTTTTTTTTTTTTAGTTTTATTCATTTCAAACGGTCTGGATCTGGCCCGCAGGCCGTAGTTTGCCCACAGCTGCTCTAACCACTGACCCACTGTCCATGGCTTTCTATACTATTTTCCATAGTGGCTGCACTAATTTACAACCCTACTAACAATGTCTGAGGGTTCCTTTTTCTCCACATCCTCACCAGCACTTATTTTTTGATTTATTAATGAGTCATTCTGACAGGTGTGAGGTGATATTTCATTGTGGTTTTAATGTGCATTTCCCTGACGACTAGTGATGCTGAGCACTTTTTTATATGTCATGGCCATCTGTATATCCTCTTTAGCGAAATGTCTATTCAGGTCCTCTGCCCATTTTTAACTGGATTATTTGTTGTTGTTTTCTTGTGTATGAATTCCTTGTGTATTTTGGATACTATCTCCTCATCAGATGTATTGCTTGCAAATGTTTTGTCCCATTTAGTAGACTGTCTTTTCATTTTGTTGGTTTTTTGCTGTGCAAACACTTCTTAGTTTGACACAGTCCCATTTGTTTATTTTCACTTTTGTTGCCCTTGCCCAAGAAGACATATCAAAAGATATCGCCAAGAACAATGTTAAAGTGTTTACTGCTTTTTTCTTCTAAGAGTTTTATGGTTTCAGGCCTCACATTTAAGATTTAATCCATTTTGAGCTTATTTTTGTACATGGTGTAAGAAAGTGATCCAATTTCATTTTTTTGCATATATCTATTGTTTCCTCAAAAATCACTTATTGAAGAGAATATCTTTGCCCCATTGTATAGCCTTGTCTCCTTTGTCATGCATTAATTGACCACAGAATTTATTTCTGGGCTCTCAATTCTATTCCATTGATCTATATATCTGTTTTTATGCCAGCACCATGCTGTTTTGATTATTGCAGCTTTGTAGTATACTCTGAAATCAGGGAGCATGACTGATAGCTTCCACTTTGCTCTTATTCAAGATTTTGTTGGCTATTGAAGTTTTTTGTGGTTTCATATATATTTTAGGATTAGTTGTTTTAATTCTGAGAAGAATGTCTTTGATATTTTAATAAGGATTACACTAAATCTGTAGATTGCTTTAGGTAATAAGGACATTTTAACAATTTTAATCCTTCTAATCAAAACAGCAAGGTATATCCTTCCATTTATTTGTATCATCTTCAATTTATTTTTAAGTGTCTTACAATTTTCACATTACAAGTCTTTCTCACCTTTACGGTTAAATTTATTCCTAGGTATTGTATGTTTTCTGGGGCAACTGTAAATAGAATTATTTTCTTAATTTCTTCTTCTGATTGTAAATTATTGGTATATAGAAACATAATAGATTTCTGTAACCTACAACTTTACTCAATTCATTTATTAGTTCTAATAGATTTTTGGTGGGGTTCTTAGGGTTTTCTATCTATAGTATCATGTCATCTGTAAATAATGAGAGTGGTATGCCGGGAGCCGGTCCATCCTTGCTGTTTCAAGGGACCTGGCAAAATGGCATACTGTTCTTAATATATTTGCTCACCTTCTTGGCACTAAGTGTTTTAGCCAAGGTCACCTGTAGAGAACATGGCAAAAGATCCTGGACAGAAACTGGCAACAGAACCTAGAGACAGAACCTAGACGAGAGAACCTGGCTGACAGATCCTAGAAACAGAACCTGGCTACAGAACCTGGATAGAACATGGCAAGAGAACCTGCCTAGAACCTGGCGACTGAACCTGGCTAGAGAACCTAGCGAGAGAACATGGCTACAGAACCTGGCTGGAGAACCTGGAGAACCTGGCTGGAGAACCTAGCCAGAGAACATGGACATAGAACTTGGCTGGAGATTGTGGCTAGAGATCCTGGCAAGGCTGCTGATCAACTGAACGCTGTCTCCGTGTCATTCCTTCTTCACCGACTCCGTCCACACCTTTGGGGAACCCCTGGACCTGCTGGGGTTGGACCCCAGCAGTTGTACTTCTTCCTTTCCAATCTGGATACCTTTTAATTCTTTTCCTTCTCTGACTGCTATGGCTAGGATTTCTAATACCATGTTGAATAGAAGTGGTGAGAGTGGGCATCATTGTCTCGTTCTTAATCTTAGAGCAGCTGTGGGCAAACTACGGCCCGTGGGCCGGATCCAGACCATTTGAAATGAATAAAACTATTGGAAAAAAAGACCGTACCCTTTTATGTAATGATGTTTACTTTGAATTTATATTAGTTCACACAAACACTCCATCCATGCTTTTGTTCCGGCCCTCCGGTCCAGTTTAAGAACCCATTGAGGGCCTCGAGTCAAAAAGTTTGCCCACCCCTGTCTTAGAGGCAAAGCTTTCAACTCTTCACCATTGAGTATGATATTAGCTGTGGGTTTCCCATATATAACATTAACTTGTTGAGATATGTTACTCCTATATATATTTTGTTGAGATTATTTTTATAAAAGAATGTTGGATTTTGTTAAATGCTTTTTTCTGAATCTCCTGAGATGATCATATGGTTTTCCCTTTATTTTGTTAATGTGGTGTATCGCATTATTGATTTATAAATGTTGAACCATCCTTGTATCCCTGGGATGAATTCCACTACATTATGGTGTATAATCCATTTAATGTATTGTTAAATCTGATTTGTTAATATTTGGTTGAGAATTTTTGTATTTATGTTCATCAAGGATATTGGCCTGTAAATTTTTTTTTTAATTTTTGTCATTTCTTTGTCTGACTTTGGTATCAAGGTAACACTAACTTTGTATAATGAGTTCATAAGTGTTTCTTCCTTTTCAATATTTTGATATAGTTTAAGAAAAGGCATTAGTTCTTTTTTGAATGTTTGGTAGAATTCACCTGAGAAGTTATCTAGTTCTGGATTTTAATTTGTTGGAAGTTTCTGATTACCACTTCAATTTTATTACTAGTAATCAGTCTGTTTAGATTTTCTATTCCTAACCAGTTCAGTCTTGGAAGGTTATATACTTCTAGAAATTTATATATTTCTTCTAGATTGTCAAATTTGTATCTCTATGGTATCAGTTGTAACTCCCTTATTTATGATTGCATTTGCATGTACTTGGGTTGCAGGCTTGATAGCTAGTCCTGGCTGGGGCAAGTGTGGGAGACAGCCAATCAATGTGTCTCTTTCACATCAATGTTTCTCTCTCTCTGTCTCTCCCCCTCCCTTCTACTCTCTGTAAAAATCAATGGAGAAATATCCTTGGGCGAAGGTTAACAACAAAAAAAGTTTTAAAAAATTAAAAAAATATGTATGGCTGGAGACATTAAGTAAGCCAAGCAATTTCTAGCATTTGCCCCATGTGAAACTTTGATATAAATATAAGGATTCCAAGTTATGGGAGGGGGAAGGTGATCACAACCTACGAACTACTGATGGATACACTAGCAGAACCACTCAATGGGACACAACAGGATCAAAATGCTACACTCACAGTGTTTGGAACGTATGGTAAACCATAAAATTTCTCCTGTGTTTCCTTGAGAATGTCTGTGGTTGACCGCCTCAGGGGATGCTTCCCATGGTAAATTTGATCCAAAATGGCATAAAAGACCTAGACAGATGAAAACATTTATTTAGTTTGGGTAGCCCTTCTTATACCTAAGATGTGTTTGACCAAAGATGTTATATGCATTCCAGAATAATAATTTTAAATCACAGTCTAAAACATTCACAAATATAGATGTATATTGCTTGAGATATATTTTGCTCATTATTTAACACTATGTCAATGATGAAAAGGAAAACTCTCAACCTTTCACAATTAAAGATATTAAAGAATTTTGAATCTTATCTGTAAGGTACTCTTTAAAATATAATGTAGCAACTTAAATTTGTGAACTAAAATTTTGCCTTTCTTTGTATCGGCAATAAATATGGTTAGAAATATGAAAAATAAAGTTATGACTGTGACTCCAGAACCTAACAAATACTGTTTGTTTTATTCCTGGAATCCCATATATCTTAAGTGAGAAAAATGAAATGGTCAGAATCCTAGTTTTGTAAGGAGAGGTAAGAGAAGATAAATAGATGGGGTGAGGTGGAGAAAGCAATAACAACCTAGTGTCTGGTGAAGACAGATATTACAAAGAATTCTGGTACAGCTGTTGGAGAATCTGAATCTAGAGCCAAGTCAGTCCCCACATCTGGTGCCAGGAGGTGCAAAAGCAGCAGCTGCTATGCAGGAACAATTCTGGCTTAAGGAGGTGACCAGAAGAAAAGGATCATTCACCTCAAAATAGAAGATATAGGCCATTAAAACATAATAGGAGAATGAAGCATTAGAAAAAGTTTGAATGTGAAATCTGCTGCTTATAAAGTTCTGAAAATTAAATTTTGCATAAAATCTATAGTAATGATAAATTTTTTTGACTTGACTGTTAGCATTGTTAATAAGTAGAAAATGCTTTATTTTGAAAAAAAATTGTTATGCAATTATGTTTCTGATATGTATCTTTCTGACTCAAAAACAGAATTTGCAGAGAATGTGCAGCTGTTGATTTGAAAGAAGTAAGGATTAGTTTGGATAAAAGAAAAATTTAAATGACTTGTAGCTTCTGGCTTCATCTAGATATAGAATTATGGTTCTAAATTATAAAGTCAAGTTTAAACATTCCCTAGAAAAATATAGAGATTTTCTAAATATAAATATTGCTTTACTCTAACTGGTAATCTAAACGTATAGCTAAATATAGCTCTTTCAATTCTATATTCTATAATAAGTAATAATGCATAAAGATAAACAGGAGCCAAAATTACCCATACAAGTCTTGTCTATATTCTAACTGAATAAATTATTAGGAATTAAAACTTTTAAATTCTAACCTCAACTGAGGTGTTGATTTTTTTGGTATGTGTGTGTGTGTGTGTGTGTGTGTGTGTGTGTGTTTTGCCACAATCTATAAACAAATAAGAATTCAAGAGTTTCATTCTTTCAATTTTACCTTTCACAGATGAAAGGCATAAGCATGGAAGATTTTTTTAAATTATAAAAACAGAGCAAAATAAATTAAATGCATGTATTTCATGCTCATTTGCAGATAAACCAAACAATTCTAAAGTGATGAGCCTATTTGCTCACGAAGGGAATCATGCATGCTTTGGATCAAGATCCTTAGAGCTACAGAAAATTAAGAGTCTATTTGTAAAACAATGCACTGCAAAAAATAAAAAAATAAAAAATTACAATTTTAATACCCCTCTAGAAACCTGAAATAATCCATTTCCTTTCCACCTTTGTTTTTCTCCACTGTACAAAGAAACTATTGTATAATATGAAAACTGGTTCCTGCGGCTCCTCTGGTAACAGGTTCTCTCTCTCTGTCCCTCTCTCCCCTCCTCCCTCTCCCTTTCCAGCTTTCCCATTCTCTCCTAATAAAGGGGTTATTCTTTCTAGAAGGTGGGAGGAATGAAAAGTTGGTTTTCCATTTTAAAAGAATATCATTGGAGCAACTGTTCAAAATAAGAGCCATGACAAAAGGTTTTAAACTAGGACTTGTACTATAATTATCAGCAAATCAAAAGACTTTTTCCAAGTACCAGTAATTCTAATTTTAAAAAATAATTCAGAAATTCAGTTTTAATTATATTGATACTAAAGGCCCGATGCACGAAGATTCATGCAACAATAGGTGTTCCTTCCCCTGGCTGCCGGCACCGGCTTCCCTCTGGCACCTGGGACCCGGCCTTCGCTCTGGTCACTGCCTTCCGCCTTCGCTCCAGCCACTTGGCCTTTGCTCCGGCTACCACATTCCTGTAGCTCCCTCCACCCCCCACACCCCCCCTCATAGCAGGCATCCTGCCCAGCCCAGGTTGCTCTGCGCCTGCACACGCGTGCTGCCCAGAGGCCTGGAGCGGCTGGGATGGGGCGGAATGCCTGCGTCGTTGCCATAGCAACGATGCAAGCATCCTGGCCTGGCCGCTGCCATCTTTGTCACAGAGTGATGGTTAATTTGCATATTGTGTCTTTATTAGATAGGATAGATACTAAATAATGTAAATCAAATGCAAATATACTGTTTTGTCTACAGTAGGTATTTTCTTTACTGAAATATGTATTTTAAGGTACAAAAAAACAAAGCTCATTACTTACTTTTTAGGGACTGAATTTTACAAAACTATAAAACAATTAAGGAGTGGCTACACTTTTAAATAGGTAACTAGATCATTATAAAGTAAGTATTTTGAGATGCTTGAGATGAAAGATGGGTGTTTAGGTTATGTTTATATAACTCCCAAGATCTGATGGGTAAGAATTCCACGAGCAATCTCAGTAATTACAAATAACTTAAACATCTGGTATCATATAGACCTGACATCCTACATAATAAAACCCTAACATGCAAATTGACCGAACAGTGGAACGACCGGTTAGGGCAGCTCCTGCGTTGAGCGTTTGCCCCTCAAGAGGGAGGTGACCGGTGGCGGCGATTGGGGGGTAGGGCCGTAAGCAGGCAGCCCCAGGCCACCAGCCAAGGTGGATGACAGCAGGCGGGTCCCTCCTTCCCCGATCGCCCTGCCTGCCGGTTGCCCCAGAGATTGGCCCTGATAGTTGGCCAGGCCTAGGGACCCTACCCTATATATTGGGAAAAGTCTCTTAGATTTAAAAATTAAGAGGCAAGGCTACTCTAACACTGAAAAAACAGGATGATGCAGCAATGACATGCATGGACTCTGGCTTGCACATTTTGTGGTCAGCTCTGATGCTGACACTTATATGTGACAAAGTGTGACAAAGCCTATTATTTAATTTCTCTGTGCTTGAGTTTTTCCACCCATAAGAACAGAAAAATAGTACTACTGCCTTTGTACTATTTTTTATAATCAGGGCAAAAAAAAAATGTAGCTGCCCATACAACAGCAAGATGCCTTTCACCTGTATAAAAAGTATGGTCACTGGTGCATGCAGCGTCAGACATCCCCCGAGGGTACAGGCTGGGCTGTACCCTTCCAGTGCATGAATTTCATGCACTGGGCCTCTAGTCTTTTTATAAAAAAAGATGACTCATAAAGTCTTTTTAGTCTTTATCTGGAAACCTGGAAAATAGGTTTTGAATGTTATCGAAATAAAGTCATTACTCTTCATTAGACTTCACATCTAAAAACACATTTTTTTAAAGCAAAGTGAATAACAATATATAAATTTGTTGCTAAAATGTATGATTTAGAAGAAATCATGTAACTTTTCCAAGTTTTGATTTTCCAGAATGAATATAGAAAATAACCACATTTAACATCTACTTCATTAAGACAGTGAGGATTGAATTAGTCAATTTGGTTAAGTTCTTTGAACTCAGATGAAAGATGTTTTAGAAGCATAATTATTATAAGAAATGTGTAGCATTGGAAATAATTTAAAGTTATATATTTATTTTGAATAATTACTCTGGAAAACTTCAGAACAATTTAAAGAGTTAAGACATGAACAAAGGTACATACATACCTGAAGTTGCATATCAGCTGCAGCACAAACCTTTTTAGACTCACAAAGACGAGACACCATATTTTTGGGCATTGACTTGAAAAACAAAAGAATATATATGTGAGTAAATTGCTGAATAAGGTATTGAACTTTGTTACTTAAGATGTGGTAAAGTTTAAAAGTTAATACTTTTTCTGCTCCTTTGTAACAATGAATGAAAGCCCATTCAAGTGCTCTGTTGACTTGTAAGTGAATATAATAAATGGTTATAGAAATAAAAGATCAAAATGTCAACAAATAAATTCAAATTCCTAGTGCCAATAAATTCTATTGGAGCTGAACTGAAATGCTAACAAATACCCATGATACTGAATTGTATATTCTTTTATTTTCCTCCCACCTGAAAGAACTGCAGAGCTCATGTAGTCAGTGTAATGTACCTATATGATGCATGCTTCCTCTCTGAGACTAATCAGGCCTAATCCCATAACATCACATCTCTGAGAAATAAACTAGTAATGGAATTAAAGGAGTACTTTAGGCCATCTTAATATACTTTAAAATCATTTATACTGATATTTATTGAAGAAAGCTACTACTTTATAGAATTCTACTTATAATCTACTTTAAGCTAAAAGCCCCTCTAAAGAGAAGTCCATTATATAAAAGACCTATGGCAGGTCACCCAGCACTCAAATGATATAAATATGGCACCAATGAATGATAATGTGAGTTGTAAGGGGAATTAAGCTTTCCCCCCTCTCTCCCCAACAGAACAGTGGCTGGCACACAGCAGATAATAAATATTTGCAGAAGGAAAGAGGGAACACCAGAATGATCATTAAAAAATGTCTTCTTAAATAAAAGATTAAGTAGTAAATGACGAAGGCTCGGGTCTCTTCTTGTTTGTAATAAAAAGCCAACCAGGCAGAAAAGGCAATTTAAAGAGTTAAGACAGGGACTGAAGGAAGCTGCATAGTGTTAAGTTCTGATACAGGTAAAAGGACTGGGGCTTTTTGACACTGACACCTACCCTGTATAAAACAAAATTTCCTCAAACAGGATTTTAAAAAGTAAAGAAAGACTTTGTTAAGTCATATACAGTATTTCAAAACAGCTTGTATCAAAATGTTCAGGTTTCTTTAAACCTTCCTTTATATTATACCTTAAGTTGACAGGATTCATGTTATACTTTAACTTTTCATAAGTAGCATTCTATAAAGTAGCTTCACATACCTTTAATAGCTTCATAAAAACATATATGCGGAAAGACAGCATTTTGTCTCATTTCTCCAACAATGAAAACTACTGTGGCCACACAGTGTACTAGGCACAGGGAACAGGAATCGGTGAACTGATAGGGTGCCTGGCCCCACAAGATTTACAGGCTTGCATTAGCCACGTAAGTACAGTTTTAAAAAGTTACAAGTGTAATGGGTGCCAAGAAGAGAAAGCAGCATAGGTCAGTATGAATGCCATAATTTAGAAAAGCTTACCAAGACGAAATAATACAGAAGTGAGATTTGCAAAATGAACAGGTGTTTACTTGACAAGGAAAGGATAGGTGGCAGGGAGAAGGGAGTGATCCTCATAGAAGAAACAGCACATACAAAGAAGAGGGCCAATGACAGGAGGTAAAAGAATGCCATGGGCAGGAAAGCGGGGTTCCAGTCAGGCTGGAAGAGGCAGGCAGGAGCCAGGGCCTGAAGTCTGGATGTCCAAACAAGCAGGGACACTGGTTTTACCCTCAGACTCTATCTCTGTGGTAAGCCACTGGGGTGTTTTAAGCAAAGAGGTCACATGGTCAGATTTGTGTTTTAAAAAGATTCCTTTAGCTGCAGTGTAGACATTAAATAGGAAGAATGAAGGAGTGGATTAGGACAAACCAGTTAGAGGCTACAGTTTGCAGAAGGGTGAGGGATGGTGCAGAGAGACTGAGGGCAGTAGCTGCCGTGGGAAGAAGGGGAAGGGAGAAGTTTTTAAGGTTGGGAAAAAATTAAGCAGGCTTAAGAAATGCTGATGGTAAGGATCCATAGAGGAGATAAAAACTAGAGATGTAGAAAAGAGACAATAAGAGCATAAGATTCCTGATAAGGCAGGAAGGGAAACTGAGCAGATGCAGGGGAGAGGAGGTTCAGGGCTGGGCATTCCCGCTGGATATGAGCTCTCAGGGAGGTCAAGAGGATTTTGTTGTGAGGGAGTTGAATTCAGAGGGTTGTGGAGGTTAGAGAAAGTTGCAGAAAGGACCCATGGAGAGTGATCCACTGAGAAGTGGAGAATCACCATTCTATGGGAGAGCTGATGATGCTCATCTGGTCTGGAGTCAGGCAGAACTGAGCTGCCTCCCTGAAGCACAGATGACAAAGGTGAGGGAGTGGAAGATGGATGAGGAAATTCCTCAGAAGAGGGAGAAGGAGACAATCTGAAGGCCAATGGCAAGGTGCCCTGTGGAAGTGGGGGCAGAGAAATAAGCAGCCAAAGGGCCCTACAATGGTGGTCAGGCATCTTTGAAAGGTTCACTATTTCTATGCTGAAGATAATGATGTGGAAATGCCAAGTATTGGATCTAAGAGCCAAGCTCAACATACCCCTTTCCATTAGGAAGTAGCTTGTGTATTTAGAGGATAATATCTCAGAGATTCAAACCCATATAGGAAAGACCAACATTAAAGGAACAAATTTAATAGGGCTTAATTCTTTCCTTGTCAGGTTTATAATAAAACAAAAGATGTAAAGAAAAAGAGCTTATAAGAACAATAAAAACTGAAAACAGTTCATTAAAAATTATGTATTGAAAAGGAAATGTGCTACTGCAGTTATTTAAAACTAGGGGCCCAGTGCATGAATTTGTGCACCTTGAAAGGAACTGTGGGCTGCGAGGCTGCGGTAGGCGCAGGGGCGGGTCTCAGCCCATCCTCCATGCCCCGACCCAGCCCCTCCTGCTGTGGTCCCGCTCCCCTGTCTGCTGGCAGTCCCGCTCCCGCAGCCCCCACTCGCACCCACTGATGGCGCAGAGCGATTGGGGCTGGCGCCAGCAGAGGGTATGAGCAGGACCGGTGCCCCGATCACCCCTGAGGAGCAGGGGGAGGTAGAGAAGCCTTCAGGGGCGATCAGGGCTGGCAGCCACCGCTTGTACCTGCTGTTGGTGCTGAGTGATTGGGACCGGCACCGGACACTGGCAGCGGGTGCAAGCGGTGACTCCAGTGCTGGCTGTGGGTGCGAGCGGGGCTGACACCGGCAGCAGGTGCAAGTACTGGGTGGGACCGCGGTGCACAGGAGCAAAGAATTTTCAGTAACCGCCAGAGGCTCACCCTGATGACAGCGACCAGCACCCCGCCTTGGTCTGGCAACCCTGCTCACCTGCTCCACCATCCCGCCATGGCTGACACCCACCATGTTCCGCGCAAGACCCCTGGTGGTCAGCGCATGTCATAGCGACCGGTTGTTCTGCCATTCGGTCTATTTGCATATTAGCCTTTTATTATATAGGATGTGAATGCTGGGGGAAATGAGTACCATTGCTGGCTAAGGTTACATGGGACCTCTGTATAATTTTTTTGCAACTTCCTGAGAACCTATATTTATTTCAAACTAAAAAGTACCAAAAACCTACCCAAATTATGTATTCAAAGCCTCCTATACCAGTGATGGTGAACCTATGACACGCGTGTCAGAGGTGACACGTGAACTCATTTTTTTGGTTGATTTTTCTTTGATAAATGGCATTTAAATATATAAAATAAATATCAAAAATATGTCTTTGTTTTACTATGGTTGCAAATATCAAAAATTTTCTATATGTGACACGGCACCAAAGTTAAGTTAGGGTTTTTCAAAATGCTGACATGCCGAGCTCAAAAGGTTCGCCATCACTGTCCTATACTGTACTGAACAAAGTATGTATACCAACACTACAAGGAAACATAAGTAGAGGGCAAGTACAATCCTAATAGAATAGTTTATTTATTTTTTAAACCATCACGTGAGGATATGTTTTTATTGATTTGAAGAGAGAGAGAGAGAAACATCGAAAAGTTGCCTCCTGTATGCAACCAGGGTTTGAACCCAAAACGTAGGTATGTGCTCTGACCAGGAACTGAACCAACAACCTTTTGGTGTATGGGATGATGCTCCTACCATATGAGACCCGGCCAGGGCCATTCTCAAATAGTTTAGAATCATTAACCCATCAAATCACAAATTAAATAATACATTTATTTTATGTTTGCTGTAAATGGGAAAATAGATATTCTTTTTCTTTTTTAATCAAGTTTGATTTAGTTAACTGGACTTAAGAAATGCATTTCAGACTGAAGACAAAATGGCGGCGGTATAGACGGACGTGTCCTGTCCCGGAGCAGATAGGGTGAACAGCTGAAACCAGTAACATCCAGCCCGACTTGGCAGAGGACAATCAGCTGGGAGACAGTTTGCAGCCGAGAAAGGCAGAGGACTCCCGGAGAAAGGTAAAGTCAAGGCTCTGGGAAAGATAATCGGCCAGAACTCTGAGCCCTGAGGTTCAGAGGGAATCCACAGGGCACAGGCTTGGGCCGCGTCCCTTCCCAAGACGGGCCCAGTGGAAAAAAAGGTACACAGAACTGCTGGTCAGCAGGGGATTCTAGATCTGGGTCCATAGTCAGGAAAGGCTGAAGAGTGCCAGCAGGAGAGAAGTGCGTAGCGGAGCAGCCTCTCTGGCCTCTGTGGCTTTTGCCTT